AAATATGAAAATAAAAACACAACTTAATCACAAGCTGTTCACACAGTAGTCAACCAGCAAGTCATACGATCGTTAATGGCAGTCAACAAATGGGTTTTCCTTCATCGAGAACCTTACAAACGTGACAATGGCGGAAGGATAAGCAAGCTCAATAATAGGCATTTCAGAGAAAATATGAAAGACCTGGATAACACCTCTTCTGGCAGTCGAATGCCAGAAGAGGGGTAGTAAAATAATTTATTACCATCGCCACAAGTGATGCAACACATTATTCTCACACATCATGGAGAAAGAGGTCATCTTACAATGCTTCCTGCCAAGATGATTAGTACAAACCCACTCCAACGAATTTCGGCTTACATGGCTGACTACTCAAAGTGATCGGCAATAGTCGCCTCACCCTATATTAGCAGCATGCGATGGCAGAGAGAACAGATGTAACCAAGCAAAGCCATTGCATAGTTACACACGACAAATGACAAGTGGCGTACGCACCTAAACAGGAAGCAACCAGTGATAGGTAGCATAAATGAAAGATGCTACTAAGGTTAATCCAGATACGTATACAGTTGACCCCCCTATAACGTACGTTCCTATAACGGAAATTCCTATAACGTAGTGAAAAAATTGTAGCAACTTTCGTATAACGTACCTCCTATATAAAGCTTGTTTCTGTGTTGTAAGCGTGTTCGGAAACAACAAAGTACAGATAAAAGCAATTTCTATAGTAACGTACTTCTTTACCGAAAAAAGTCATTTTTTCACATTTACCCACCTATTTCTATAAATTTCATAATTGAAGTTTCTCTATTAAAAGCTTTTTGCAGCTGTAACCAATAAGCGAATTGACCGTAAAAGTTGTATACAGACTTGGATGTAAGAAAAATGTGTAAAGAGCAAAAAAGGAACAATGAATGTGTTAAAATTATAAAAACAAATTTAGTTCAAAAACTTCAACTAAGAGGCGCAATAATGGGATAAACACTAAACAAAACAATCAAACAAACAAAGACATTTGAATTTTATAAATGAAAAATCAACGTATTAAATACATTTTGATTTTTAATTTGACATTTTCTATTATCCTAAAATGGATTTTTTGTGGAATTTGTAGTTTGTACAATAATAAAGGAGATAAAAATAAATCTCGACGTGTGATATGCCTGTAAATAAACACTGAAAAAATCGTACCCGATGAAATAACAATTTAATATTAAGCAGTGCCGTTTTCAAACATTGAATATGTAGCGCATTCATCTCGACGAACATTCTTTTGCAGGAAGGACGTTTTTCTTGTTCCCGTGTTTAAAATATTCTGCTTTACTATCATTTCCGTTACTTCAATTGCAATTAATTACAAAAATAACATTACGTTACATTGAATATTTTTACAAGTTTATGGTAATTAATATTATTGATAAGGTAATTTCGCGGAAAAGACACAAGAAAAAAAATGATTCTCTAAGTGTTCTGCACAATCTTTCTACTAAATATAGAGAACAAATGGTCATATATATGCAAATTTTTGTTCAAATAGATGAAGTATTGCAAAAACTTAAGTAGATTATAAAATATTGTGAATTGCAATACAGTAGCGTATAAAAAAATGAGCAAATATTTTCTCGCCCTGTAGCGAGGAAAAAGTAAGAACAATTCGGGATTCAAGAGGCGAAGAATGATTCGTTTGAATTGATAAGATAAAGTAATTATATTTTTTAATAACACTTAACTCTACAACTGTTTAATAACAACGTGAAATGAAATTTAAGTGAATTTTAAGGCAATACAAACTCCTTTTTCTTTGCGCTGTTTCAGTTGATATTCAACTTTATGAAATTAAAAGTCTTTCAAAAGTCTAGTCGAGAAGTTTGCATTCTTTCTACGTAAAAATATAAAAGTGCATTATTACTATTAGAAATACCCCAAATTTCTGCATATACTTGATCTGGAAATAAATAAAGCCNTCTTCGATAAAACATTACTGGGTAAATCCTCAATTGTAACTTCGGCCATCTCGGTATAGCAGACGTGTTCCACCCTACACGAGATGTTGTATACTATGATATCGACAATCACGCTGTTTGTTTAATAATGACGATTGCACAATCTTGTGACAATTATTATAGCGACGTTTTCTATGACGTTAGGTCTGAGTCATTCGATATCACGCAACGATAGCGCAATACTTTTCTCAAATAAAAAAAAATCTTCGTGTCGTGAGAAATATATAGAACGACAGAATTTAACTTATTATTGTTTTATGTAAATTTATAGAATTTGCCAATTTTAATTTTAAAAAAATGCTGGAGTGAAATGTACTGGTAAGAGAAAATAACGCAACCTTTCAGTGATTTATTAATTAAGGAAAACTCGTGTCCGAAGGATTTTCGATGAAAAATTAACCTCTGTTTATGTGTATAGACTCTCTTCGGAGAGCCTGTTGATTAAGCGCACCCACTAAAATCGGTGAATGGTGTTATTCACTTGACCAGTGATAAGCAACATTGATTTTCTTTTGTAAGATTTCACTTTCATAACCGGTGTGGTAGTCGAGTCGAGTGAATTAAATCGTTCAATATTGTTAGTTGGTAGCAGTTTTTTTACTGAAAAACGGTCCGGCGTAATATTACGATTTTCTTCTTGTGTTTAACGCCTAAGAAGATCAATTTCCTTTAGAAGTTTACTCGATAAGCATCCGCTTTGGATATCGTCCACTGGTTGTGTTGCCCTATACTATCAATGATACTCAGAACTATAGTGTAACGTCAAATCTCAGTTTTCGAATGACCATTTAATTAATAGCCTATAATAAAATCATCGTGAGGACAACTGCACATCCTGCACAGCCTATGTATATGGTATCGAGTGTGCCAATTCAGTAATTACACACTACGGCCGTTTCTAGCACGTAATCAAAATCCACCATAGTTTAGCCAAATAAAGCTTGTTTCTGTGTTGTAAGCGTGTTCGGAAACAACAAAGTACAGATAAAAGCAATTTCTATAGTAACGTACTTCTTTACCGAAAAAAGTTATTTTTTCACATTTACCCACCTATTTCTATAAATTTTGTAAAGAAAAATGTGTTCCATTTTTCATTTCTGACTGTAAATATAAAACAGCCTCGTGTGTTTTATGCAGTGGCTATTATTTTAAAATACTTCGAGGAGCACGTGCCCTTTTAACAGGAACCCATGATTTATTTTTTTATAACTAACACCTTGATCCCGAAATCATTTCTTTATGTTCATTCTAAAAGTAATGAAATACTATTCAAGTATTTGAAGGTAAAATGAATAACATACACTTCTTTCCTAGGGCATTATTTCATTTCGGGAATGGTTTGCTTTGACGGGATCGGCAACGCAACAAACAAGCGATCCGATAGGATGTCAGAAAGATATTCCCTGACTTCCTATCGAAAACTTTCCGCTATTTTTGTGTTATATTACGTTCGCACACAATCCATGACTCGCGTCGATCTCGATTTACCTACAATCTGGATTGTGGCTGTCGCCAGACGAACGTCGAGTTGTTCGCACAGTCAGTGATGTCAGTCCGCTCGAGAAGAACCCGGCTATTACACGCGATAATAAACCTGACATAACTAGGCGGTAAGTTAAGAACAACAACAAAGAAAATAGAAGTTTTGATTAGAAATAAATACTTTTTCTTGCCATATATTTAATAATAGACAGATGCCATCGTCACTCCAAATGTTTTTTTTTTAATTCTGACGATAGCACAACACGTGTTCCGCGACCATCTTATATTTTCTCGCGCGCGTGGGATTGCGGGATCTCTCTTATAACTGGATCTAGTTTCGCGAACTCTGTCGAGTCGATCGCGATTGAACGTCGTTTCAGTCGAGAGTGAAATGGTCCAGAGAGGTCGAACCACGGCATAATCGCCGAGCTTGGTCACAATCTATATCGAAATGCTCGGTGCGAATGGGGTATTACGGACGTGTAGTGTAAAACTGTCAATCCTTTGTTAAAGCCAGTAACAACTACCACTGTTCAGTGGTTTCATTCATTCGGCCGTCGATGGGCATTTGAGAAAATAAAAAAAAATTCGATACAAAAGCAAATCTGATGTCAAAGACCGTAATTACTGTACTTCAAAAAATCATCATCAGCAAAAAAAACTGTAAAAGATCTTCTAAAGAATACGTCCATATTTATATCGTTTTTAAACGGAACACTTGTGTGTTTAAATATATAGTCAAAAAATTAAGTGATTTTATTTAACACTTTTTATTCTTTGTTCCCGATAGTATATTGCTATTGGAATTGAAAATATTTCATTATTTGGTCTGACGATCGTGTAAGAAAACAATCTGCATAGCTACGTACCGGGAATCGTCTCCTTGTCTCCAGAAAAATAAAATTTTTTATTATCAAGTAGCTTCTTTCTAATGTAAAAATCCGCTTACCTTATAAAGTATTATTCCAATTGAATATCTGTAATTTTGTAAAAATTCATAAAATAACACTTAATCTTGAAAATAATTTCATCTAATCCGTTAAGAGAACGGCCAAAAAACGTCAAATATTTTACAAAATTACGTTCTTCCTTGTCCTAAAATTTTACTCTCTGACAATTGCTCTCTACCCCTGAAACACGCAGAGTAAGATACGCAACCCCAAATACTTTTATCTATATTATAATTTAACCTTTTTCAGACTCAGACACTTCCTCTATAGTGGTCAATGGGAACCACTGACTTACCCCTTTAAGTAGGTAACGTGTTTTATGAATGTTCACTAACACTTTACAATTCATTCTTATTACAGATGTAAGTGAACGTTATTAAATAATTACAGTCGATTCTTTTTAATATCAACACTTGAAGGTATCAAAAATATTTCATCTAATCTATTTTATATAAATTAATATTATTTTATTTGAATCAAATTACAAATGACAAAAAATTCGTAAACATTTTTACAGAAATAAATAAATAAATAAAATATTCTGACAACTGAATTTTTGGTTGTGCAGCATTCTTAGACATAACATTGCATTTAGAAATGTTGTCACGCAATCGTAAAAAAGGCACTTAACGTTTTCAAAAGGTGAAAATAATGATGCAATTTACAATTCTATAATTACTCAATAATTCGAGAATTCAATTCTGTAATCATCTAAAGTGAAGTGCAAAAGATTATAACGTAACTCATCAAAATAGCATCCCTGTTAAAAAATGAAACCGCTGGTACATACGTGTATAGCCATGTAAAATTTTTTTAGAAAATGAAGCAGCGAAAATGTGTACTTTAACAACTATTTCTGTCGATTTTTATAAAAAATTTCTAAATAAATCTCTTGTAAATAGTAATTCCGCAATTTTATCGTTTCAATCAGTTTTGATCCTGATTAAAATGCAGTTTTTCTGTTTGGAGGAATATAAAAAACCCGAAGTAGTGTTCTTTTTCCTGTCAATAATACATCTGTGCAAGTTTTAACCTGAATACAGATGATTATAAAATACATTTTATGATAAATTAGAACATTCTAGACACATGAAACTGTAGACGTGTTACTAAAACCACTGAACATTAGTTGCTGGTTGACGTCTCTCCAATGGGTAGCAGCCACGTAAAGTGTGATGACGTAATTTAATACGAATACCTTTGCAAACAAAATGATTTCGTGTCCATAATATCGATGAATTGAAAATTATTATTATTATTTTATCCAAAAATCCAATATGTGTTTTCTATGCTGATTCGGAGAAATCTTGAAATATTAAAATCCTATTCATTCCTTTTCCAGATTATTATTATTTTTGAAGCGAGAAGATTTTAATTCTAATGTTAAACAGAACTTTTTTCGAGAAATAAATAAATTTGCTTTCAAGTTTAGAAAAATTCATATTCATATCACATATGTTATTGTTTTCGTGGCAAGAATGTACGAAACATGTTGTCTTATTAATTGGTATTTAAGAACAGTTTTTAAAAAATAGTGTTATTCAAACGTGTGAATAAGACGACGATGAACCATCATTCTTACCTAACAATGGCAAACAGCCTCGTCTTTTTTATTACTTTATCTCGCTTTTAATTATTATTATTATTATTCTTTCACTGCATTTAAAGAAGTACGTTTTCTCTCTCTCTCTCAATGTCTCTGTAGAAAAAATAATTTGTCTAATATGAACCAAATTTTGGCTTTACCTAGTAGTTTTTTTTTACGGTGAGCTCTGAATATAAACTGTTTATGATTACACTGTATTTAGCATCCGTATCCGTATGATCCATACCGTGTAAAGAAATTAACTCGGTGGCTCAAAAACACTTAAAGTGACTCCAGCACTTTGAACTTTACGACCGGAACCACATAAAATACCACCTAGTGCCTTCTTTCTTCAATATTAATAATATTCTGGATTTAACTAACAACTCGACATTAGTTTGTGTTTTGGGTAACTATTATTAGTGAATGTAAAACACTTTCGACATTCATTCTGCAACTTCAATAAAAGATTTATGTCGTCATCGACCCATTTGTATCCACTTCGATTAATGTCTACGTCTATTCCACTCTTCTCTTTTCTCTTTACGGCCCTACAAAACATTCTTTAAGTTAATTTTCTGTTAGCAATTTAAGTTTATAATGAAAAAAAACGGAAGTTTACCAAGATAAAATTCTTCTGTACTTTTGAATTTTAACAGGTGCATGAATATGAAAAACGTAAAAACTAGAGAGCTATAAAGTGATTTATTGTTAAATTAAACTTATTCAAATGTTATGATCCACTGGTTAATAAGTTTTTAACATACCTCTGTCAATGCTTCCACAATTTCACCACCCTGTACAGTTGTTTTCCTATTTGACAGAACACGTAACTCTTGTAACCTTTTTGCTTTGCTCAACGCTTGCCACAGTCGCGAGTCTGATAAATCGATATCACTTTGACCGAGTCTAAATAGTGTTAAATAGCAGTAAAAGAATTTTAAAAATAAAATAGACAACAGAACAATTCGGAACAAAAGTAAAATTGATTAATTTGATTGGAACCGTTAGAAAACACTTCCATTCATTAATTAACATTTAAAAGTATAAAATGACACCTTGGCCTAGTAAGACATCGGCCTACTGCTTTGGAATTACTGGAATCGTATTTGAATAAACAATTTCTCGGGAATTTCTCATGAGCGACCTTTCTAGAAAAATTACAATCCCTCACTAATCGGCCACCATATTCTTCAACTAACCGAATCCGCGATGAGTACGGAAAAGAGGCCTCATTGTATCCACAAGATAAAGAGTTTCGAGTAAAATCTTCTTGGTGTTGCTCGCATGCATTTTATTCCGGGTGCTCAGAACAGTAGAATAATTCTTAATCCTCTCGTATGTTATGTAAATCCTTTTAACCAGCTTCAAAATAAAATAATGTTTTTCAAATTGAATTGGATATACAACGAACAGGAAACCATCGTTTTTCGTATTATTACTGCTACACAGCAGTGAGTGGAGGATAAACGCAAAATAGGTGCTATTGGTTTGCGCTTCACTAACGTGCTGACTACGATCAGTTTTCTGGGTTTTTTCATATTTATAACACCTAACTAAGGATAATGCCCACCTCCTAAAACACTTTCTCTCCCCAGAAACAAGTTTGTCACTGTGCTTCTACACATTAATTCATACCCCACATCCATATTGGTGTAATCTGTATCGATTAAGTCTCCGATTATAAGCGAAATTGTGTGTCCATTATGTTTTCAGCCTTCTATGCACTATCAGCAACTAATGCGGTAATTAATATCAGTAATTAATTGTATTAATTCATATTAACGAATCGAATAAATGCCCAGCCTTTAAACTTTAAACATTAAAACTTTCTAATATTAAAAATACCTGAAATGCACCAAATTTGGTGCCGTCATTAAAAAGCAGAAGAGGGATTCCAAGTAATTACATTTTCCCAGATTATGAATCCGTAAACTTTTGATATTTAGGCAATTAACTGCGATATCCTTCAGGAAACGAGCTGCTCTTATTTGAGGAATATTCACTAATGTTAAAGACGTCAATCTGCTCATCTTGGATAAAGCCGACAGATGTGTATCCCAGCACAATTCTGAATTTTCATGGCTGAAAAATCCAAAAAGTAAACGTGATATATATGATTTACGTATGAAATAAACATTAAAATAATTCTAAATACGACACACCTTTTGCATACACCGCACCCATAAATCTCTAATTCGGACAGTTGATGACATTTCTTGGCGATGGACATGAGCAGTGACTAAACACACGACCAATAAGAATATGATATTCAAGTATTCTCAGCAAGAATTAAATACTTACATCACTATTAGAGGATTTAACGGTGATATTATTCCTAGTTTTCGAAATACAGCACTTGCTAACTTCCGAACAGGCGGGTAACGCGAGGCGTTGCAATCCTGAAAAAAGCCTCGTTATAACCACAATGTAATTATCGCGTAATTATATGCATAAAAACGAAGACAAACCTCTTAATTTACTGATTCCATTGAATAAGTGACGACATAATCCAATATGGCAGTTGATTAGATTTAATTCTTTTATAAGAAAACAAGAGGCGAGTAATTTATTAAATCTATTGACTATCTGAAAAATTTCAAATAGAAAGAATTAACTTGAAATATTGACGACAATTCGGTTAAAATTAATCACGACTAACCAATTTATCTCTAGTAAAATTCACTTTGTTGAAGCAAAGATATTGCAAACTTTTAGTGGCGAATTTCAGGAAATTTTCTAAATCTTCATTTTCGAATTTAGAATCTCTGTAACTGACGTATTTCGCTTCCGAATGTTCCTCGACTATTCCATATTTCATGCCTTCGTCGATGAAATAATTCGAATCAGCCGAACATAAATTATTCAGGAAACTTGAACGTAAAATGTTTTCCTCCTTTTTCTTTTGTACAGCTGCAATATTTTGAAAACTACAGAATTAAATTTTATAAAATAATTTATTTATCATTCTTGTCACAAGTTTTCAGAAAATAATATACAGCGATAACAAAGTTATTCAACTGCTACATTATAAACTTTCTAATGTGCATTCACCGGTGGCCAAAGAGATAAAACCAGTGACACCACAGGTAGTTGATTGCGGGTTCGCACCTCATCAAACAGACTGGCTTTGTGAAATCTTCCTTTTTTGAAGAAAACCAGAAAACTGGACGTGGCAAATGTTAGATACGGGAAGCGTGTCAAAGGTTTAGATACGGCCGCGAATCATTGTGCTGTATATCAAGCGAGATTTAAAAAAGTCTCTTTCTAAACTCCAAATTATAACAGAGTGTTGTTGCGATGCGATGTAGAAGTTATAATTTTAAAAAATTAGCTGGCAAGCATTGGTTGGGTAAATTTAAGGAAATACATCAACACATCACATGGACGATCTTCCACGGAATCAGCTGGAAGAAATTTTCTCCAAGAAACTGTTTTATTTTTATGTGAAACACGCGAAAAAAACCCGAAAAACTCCACGAAACGAGGAGGGAACCAATGACAAGTTCGCAGGGTTAATTGCTTCGGTGATTTAGTGGAAAATACTATTATTCCAATATAAGTTCCGTGGTATATAGCTTTCTTTCATATTATATGATTTTTAAATTACGTAAATTTTTTCACCCTGATAGTAGTAAGAAATTCCATTTTTGCCGGCACCGATCGCGCATCTAACTAGATCTACAATACGAGTGGATGAGGAGGCTTGCGGCATATCGGGTCAAACCACGTACAAAAGTTTTTAGCTGATCTAAATTATAATTTAGCTGATTTGACGGCTTTACCATACTCATTTATCTTAAATTCTACCTTGGAATAGTTTGAGATAATGATGTTTGACTTACCAAATCTGTCCGCGATTTCAGGCGCCATCCAGTAATCATTCAAAGGAACGTCTTGCATTCGCCCTTCCAGAATCCATTTCAATAAGGTGTAATCATTCTCCATTTTCATTTTATTCGTGTAATCGTCATCGGTATAATTATCTTCGGTTAAGATGATGCTAACCAATTTATTTAAGTTTAGTTTCCAATAAAACGTTGCATTACTCAGAACTGGCAAATAGAATCTTGAATCATCTTTGTTTTCAAGAAGATAATTCACCAGATGAATGTGGATATATTCTATATTTGGGAGGTATAACAACAATAGATGCAAGAAACAATAACTACAGTAAGAATTATCAATTGATATCTGCATTTTACTTAATTTTTTCAGCGGATTTCGGTCCAGTTTTTCTGCCATCAATAAAAGTTTGGAGTTTATAAGATCCTTGTTTAATGTGTAGTCATATCTTTCTTCAGTTTTCAGTAAAAGCGTTTGATGCGTGGTTAAAATCAGCTCTTGCAGATGAGGAAGTCTGATTAAAATATCAATCACTAAGTCATATTCCAGTTCTGTGTTCACTATACGGAGTGATTGAACGTATTTAAATCTTATCACGCATTTTAACCACACGTCATCGGGTATCTCGTCCGAACAATTGCTGACGTCTAAAATTTGAATGTCTTTCGAATGATTTACGAAGAACAGTTCCAAGCATCTCTTCATTAGAAACGAATCACTGCAAGAAATATAAGAGAAACGTTAATTTTCTTGTATTTAATTCATACGCACTTTATTTACTGAACAACAAATAATCACATTTTAGCTACATTTAAGACTATTTAAATGTACACTATACATTGGCTGATTTTTAGAACCCTTTCCATTGTGTGGGTTTCAGAAAGGATTGGATTACCTGTATAGGGAAACGCGACACGTGGGCGATCTTCCAAAGGGAATGTTTTCTAAGATTGACTTTATAAAGAAACTAATTTCTATTTTGGCATTACCGACGTGATGAAAACTCGGTAAACTTCGTGCGGCCAGCGCATTGGCGATGCGCGAACCCACGCGCAACTACCGGTGCTCAGTGGTATTCTGAACTCGGCCACTCGTCGGGCACAAACAGGGCTTCTTAGAAAGCCTATTACGGGTTTGGCCAGGCACAGAATGGTGGTGAGAGGAACAGACTTTTTCGGATGGATCCCGAAAAATTTATCGTTTTTCAACCCAGACAATTTTGGGTTCTTCAAAGTAATCAGCAACCACTTTATCTGCTATGCTATTGGCTGATTGTATCTTAAATACAACTACGTATTTTTGGGGAAAACGAAAGTGAGCTCCGCATCAGAGAATTTTCTGTTTCGGCTTCAAAGAAAAAAAAATGTGGTGACACGCTGTAAACGTTCTATAGAAAATTGAGACACAAATCTGTGACTAGAGACACTGCATGTAAAACGGCCGTCGTAAAAATCGTAGTAGAATATTTTCTCCGAGATCAATATAAATTCAGAGTAATCGGAAATTCGTTTGAGAGCGTTTTGTAGCGCACAACCAGCTTATAACCGATCACTTTCGTTTTTCTAGGACAGAGGTGTCCAAAGTTTTTGACGCAAGGGCCACATTGGGAATTAAATACATTTGCTGCTAAGTGTAAGATATATCCTAGATTCTAGGAGATATCTTATACTTAGTTTCACAGTGGCTCTATCATTTCGGAATAGACTGCAATTGCAAAAACTCGTGTAAACTAGCCGCGCGGTTGCTTTAAACCAGTAGATTATTCAGGAGTTAACCTGGAGGAAGAGGAGTAAAATAAATAATAAACTATTTAATCCCAACTGAATAAAATTCTCGCCTTACGGGACCACTTTTTTTTTACTCTTTCTGATCTGTGGGTACTAAGAGGGCCTCTTATCACTGATTCATTAGTAGTATAGAAATAGAAGAAACGACACAATGTAATAAAAAAAAAATATTAATTCAGAATGGATTTTTGAGAAATTTCCTAGTATCTTTTCTTTTTTTTCATTGGATGCTGACAGGGCCCTTGTCTCCCTTCCAAGTGCGCCATTGCTGTTCTTAAAAAAGTGAATTTGGCCTTCGAGTTAACATAGCGATTTTGACCCGGAATATCTCGGACCGTTGATCGAATTTAAAATTCCAAGTTTGGTCACAACATCGGCCCTGCATTTTTTTTACAAAATATCAGGTTTAAAAGCCGTGCGGTTTTTAAAACTTCAATCACAGACAAAACGCTTCCTGACACTTGCAGAGCACCGCTCAATGAATTTAGAGTTTGTAATATACAACTAAAATCAGCAATACACGCAGGACATAATCACATATTAAGTTAAAATCGCTTTTGAGTGGATCTCGACTTCTGGTGAACATCAGATTGGAAAAACAGAACAAATTTATTGATTTGCCTATAAATTCCTTTTTACAAGTTTCCAAAATAAAATATTATCATTTTATAATTAATCATGTTAATTATTATTAAAAATTAATGTTGCCATTTTTTCCCACCAGGCTGAATACTCGACGGTCAACGTGGACTGGCCGCAGTAGGATGCAGGTTGGATGTCAGTGGCCACGCGATTCCGTTCTCTGAACACTCAAATTTCGGCCGTGTGTTGGCGCCTGGCCTGGACAGCGGAGTTTTCCGGGTTCCCTCTACGTCTGTAACGCCCGAATAGGAGGCAGTTACGCGTAAAAACACTTGACGGAAGACATCATAAACGCATACAACTACGTCACAGTTTACCACGTGGCGATATAGCCTAGAAGCTCAGGCACAAGACTTACCGCATGCTACGGAATAAAACGGCCTTGTCATACGAGAAAACTCCCGTAGATATGCTGGGTAAACAGTAGTGACAATGGGTTGTCAAATTTTCTATCGATTAGCTGTATCACGTGGTTAAAATCCGCCGTGTTCTGCCGTGGCTCTGTGTATTTCGAATGGTAAGTGTTCTTTAAAGTCGTTTATAAAAAAATCTACAAGTGGTAAAAGTTTATCCTTACGTCATGGATCCTTTTTTTCTAATTTTGCTCTCTTAAGACACGTCTCTAATAGCTCTATCAGGCTTTTAACCTATCTTGCTTTGTCTTAAACATTTTCAATTATTTTGTAGACAATGTGACAGTTTTAAACTTATGTAACAAGAAATAATTAAGTGTTTCTATGTTTTTAAAGTCACACATTCACACTTTAACAGATTCAATCTTATATATTTAAAAATTGCTTTTGCTTATCAGATCTTAACATTATTTTATGAGATGGATTTAGTCTCAAAGAGTTTTATTTTATAAAAGTTTTTTGACTCATTTAGCATTGCATTATTAGTGCTTAGTTATTATGGACAGAGTTGTGTGTGACAAAAAAGAGTACTGTTATTATGATAATAACTGTGCTTTTTGCCCATACTTTACTATCATTATTTAACATATTCATTTTACATAAATAAGATACTTGTGTTATATTTCTCTTCAAAATTCACCTGTTTAGTGAGTTATGCAAAGAAATATGTTAAAAAATTAAATGATGATGATAAAAATGTTACTTATGAAGTGCTATAAGTGATAACTTTCAATTTCTCTTCTTTTAAGAATATTTATGGAAAAATTAGTGTAACCAAATATGATGCTGTAAATTACTGTAACTTAAAATTAGAAACACTAAGTAGCTTAACACAAATAAATCAGTAATATAATGTGTAGTAAGAGTATTTATAAAGATATTAGATAATCAAATATTTGTAGGTATGCTGTTGACAGCTGTTGGCGTATTAAATGTGTTTTTAAGCATGTTTGTCAGTAGTTTTAGTGAGAGTCACACAAATTTAATGCTGTTTTATTTGGCCAATATAACCTGACTAAAGAGGTTTGTAAGGAAACAGCTTGAAACAGCTCAAGTAAATTTTAGAATGGCCATAATTGTAGCTGTTTGGAGTCTAATGTATAATTATTAGAATAATAAAAGAAATACAGATAAGTCTCAATGTACGATAAGCCTTTGAATAAGTACTGAGAAATAGTAAACAGTAAATAACATTGGATTAAATTTACTTCAAAACAATGTACAGTTGTAGTTTTTAAAAACTGAAATAGATAAATAAAGAATGGTTATCAAGAAGGTTAAAAACTGATTGCTTTGATGTGTAACAATATTCTAACTGAAGAGGAAATACAAATTCTGAAATGCACTTTATTTAATAGTTTATAATTACAATTGTTCTGTAAATAACTAAAGTTGAATAAATGTTTTAAATATTTTGTTGATGGTGTGTGATAAGCCTTAATACATTTTCACTACTATTTTGTTTAAGCAAAAATGAATATGTTTAATAATAATAACACATTGTGTTTGACAAATTCTTGACATTCCAAAACAGTAAACAATGAAAATTTCTATGCATGATTTAATCTTTGATTTCTATTATTTTCTTGTTAGAGATAATTTTTGCCAGAATTGTTAATGAAAATTTTTTTTTGTAAAGCCTGTAAATTTTTATTAAAATATTCAATGTTATCTTAATTTACATATACGTAAAAACATCCAAACTTGATTGTTATATATATTAGAGCCAAATGATTACCAAATTATAAACCTTCTAAATTATTAAAATATTAATTTAAATTATAATTATTAAGTTTAGAAAAGATGGTTCCTAATGTTTGCATCTAGTGCCTAATTACTTAGCATATAATTAATAATAATAGTAATAATATATGTTAATGTAATTCAGGAATCATTTTTTCATACATTATATTAATTTTCTATCTTTATAATTAAAATATACTCTACTTTCTACACTGTACATAGCACATTCTTCTATACCATAGTTGCATTTTCAAAACACTTGGAATTATTCTATCTGTGAAACTGTATTTGTCTGTGTATAGAATTCTTTGTAATGACAGAGTTAAGTTTCTGTTCTATAGAAATCAAATGTCTATACGATCCCCTTACAACACTTGTGCATGAGTTCAAAAGTTTTTTTATACAGACCATAACCAGAAAGCTATTAAAGCATTTTGAACTTTAGGAAACTATTAGGATGATATTATAAATAGTAGTCTTCGATAACCTGTCTAGAGATATATTTAACATAATCTTATACCATTATGATGGGAAGCTTTCCTATTCAAACAAACAAATTGAATAATTTTTCCTTGGGATTCTTTATATATAACAACATTGGGATCAAGTAATAAATCCAAGACTGAGTTCTCTGATTATTGGTATTATTTTTTTAAACTTTAAATTCATAGTTTACATATAAATATATAAACTGGATTTTAGGGTATGTCTATTCTGTAATTTCTAAATATTTCTGTATATTTTTTATATGGTTGCTAATAGAAACCATCTCAACCATATATCATATATTGCATTGTTTGGATGAAAACATTGTGTTTAAATTAATATAGGTCACCATGTTTTCATCCAGAGAACACAATTTGAGTTTTGAATGTAGATACTTATCATTTATATTTGTTTCTCCTGAATTTTATTAACCAAAATGTTTCTAAATTGTCAAAATCACCTGTCAGTTACATTGCAAAATGTTCTTTAATTTCAAACTAAGAGATATGTAGATAAATAATAAACCCAAAATATTTATATCAATTAAAATTTAGGAAATTTCTTTAATTATTCCATACAAATACCTTATGTATTAATTTTTAATCTTATACAAAAAATACATCTGATGCACACATAAATCACAAACA